TGGAGGATCAGAACATGAGCTGTCTGGACAGAAATGTAAAGCATGGAGCAGGCGCTCGCTTTATTAATGTCTGATCATCTTGTTTAATCCCGCCCCCTTGCCCAGCGCCGCACGCCAGAATTCCGCACACACACATACACTGGTGTGAGCAGCTGAAGTCCAGCTTTGGGTGGAAACTCAGTTGGTGCAAACCCCTTTGGTGGGCGTGGCTAACATTGTGCTCCTCCCATTACAGGCACACTACTAGACTTTGGAGACTCCGCCCCAATTGTGGCTCCACCCTCTCAGGACATGTGGGGTGATTTCACTTCTGCAGGATCTGGGTCAGTAAAACACACACACACACACACACACACACATGCACGCACACACTATCCATCTATCTGTCCGTAAATCCATCTATCCATCATCCGTCTATTCATCCATCCATCATCTATAATAATAATAATGTTTATTTATAAAGCGCCTTTCCAGAGCTCAAGGACACTTTACAAGGAACACAACAAAAAGATAAACAAACACACATGAAGTCAAATATAACACACTGGAGTTACACAAACAAGACCTGAGAGACAATGAGCAGAGGGGAGGGGGATCAGATGAAGCGGTCCGTTTGGCAGATCAGAAGTGAAGCGTTCAGAAGATAAGTGCGTGTTTAGTCAGGATCTGCAATCAGAGATGTTATTAGCAGAGCGGAGTGAGCGTGGAGGAGAGTTCCAGAGTTTGGGTGCAATAACACTAAATGATCTGCCCCCATTGAGGAGAGGACGTACTGAGGGACAGTGAGAAGACCAGCGGACCGTAAAGAGCGAGTCGGGGTGTAGAGGACAAGCATGTCGCAGAGATTGGAGGGTGCTAGGCTGTTTAGGGATCTAAATGAAGGAGGAGAATTATGAGTTTAATGCGGTATGCAACCGGGAGCCAGTGGAGATCATACGAGACTGGGGTTATGTGAGCAGAACGTTTGGTATGAGTATGAGTGAGTATTCTAGCTGTAGAGTCTTGAATATCCTGTAATCTGGAGATGAGGCCGGCAGGCAGACTGATGAAAAGAGCATTACAGTAGTCGATGCGTGACGAGACAAATGCAGGGATGACAGTCTCAGCATCCTGCTACTGATGAAGGGACGCGGTGGGAAATGCGACGTAAGTGAAAGAATGCAGATTTAGTGACGGATTTAATCTGAGACTGAAAAGAGAGTGTGGAGTCGAAGATTACTCCTACATTTCTTACAGAAGGAGATGTTTTAATGACCGAGCCAGCAATCTCACAGGAGAAACTGGTGGAAATACTGCTGGTAAGTGCTGGAGGCCAATAAACATCGTCTCAGTTTGTCCATGTTGAGTTTCAGGGAGTTTGAGGTGAGCCGATCATTAATATCCCTCACACAAGCAGAGATATGGTCAATGTGGGCGGATGAGGTAGTGTACATACAGAGTAAAGTTGAGTATCGTCAGCATAAAGATGACAGTGTAGACCGTGACCTTGCAGACCAAGAGGGATCAGGTATATTGAGAACAATAGTGGGCCTAGAACAGAACCCTGGGGAACACCTCGCTTCAGGGGGACAGCAGACGACTGAAAACCCATAACAGAGATGAAGAAGTGTCTATCTGAGAGATATGAAGAGAACCATGAGAGAGCAGTACCAGAAACACCCAGATCAGAGACACGTGGAGGAGGGAATCACGAGAGACCGTATCAAAGGCAGAGCTGAGGTCGAGAAGCAGTAATATAGACAAAGCAATAGATCATCACTACCTTTACAAGTGCAGTCTCGGTATTGTGGAGGAGCAGAAAACCAGATTGAAAAGAGTCCGAGACATTATTATCAACTAGAGAAGACTGGAGTCGGGCAGCAACAATACTTTCCTGGAATTTAGGTATGAAAGGTAGATTAGAAATTGGACGATAATCCATCCGTCCATCCGTCTGTCTGTCTGTCTATTCATCCATCTATCTTTGTATCTATTCATCCCTTCATCCATCCACTCATCTATCTGTTTTCCTCTTCATCTATCTATCCCTCCACCTGTCTCTATCTCTACACCTCTGCGTCTGTATCTCTGTGTTTTCAGGTTCTAGTCTTCAGTGTCCTCAAAGCATTTCACTCATGTGTAAACTATCTCCACCTGCATCCTCAGCTGAGTGACACGTGCAATACACGAGAAATAAACAACAGAGAGCAGGAACAGAAACACACAACATCTCTATTATTATTAGACTGTTATTGATAATGATTATCGTTATAAACGCCGCTAATGGAAGATTAATTCAGTGTATTGTTCATGTGTGATGGTGTGGGTGAGTTCAGCTCGCTTCATTTGATGACAGACGTTACATGAGTGTTGCCAAAGCATTGAGGATGTTTACATTCACCAGAACACATGAAGCCAGATCACACACACACACACACACACACACACACACACACACACACACACACACGACTGGAGTTTAAATAGTAAAGGTGTGTGTATGTGTGTGTGTGTGTGTCAGGTCTGCTCAGGACTCTCGCTCTGGATCCGGATGGGTTCAGTTCTAAAGTCTCGCCGCTGGACGCTCAGAAAGGGAACGTGCGGAGCTGTGAATGTGACGACGCCGTATTTCCACAGATGTTTTCTATGCAATCGTTCAGAAATCACTGCATTCCAGCTGCTGTAGACTCTCAACACACACACACACACACACACACACACACACACATCAGCATCATGTTTGCTGAAGCGCTTCACTATAATGACTCTATAATCTCCCCTGTCTGCCATTGGCTGGTCATACTAGCCCCGCCCCCAATAACAGAATAAAGAGAGTCAGAGTGTTTACAGGAAGTTCCTACGCTGACTTCCTCTTATTGACTCCACATCAGAGTGTAAGTATTGAGCACTCAGACCCTTCTCATGTCCTCCTTTATCTGAGTGGTGTGTGTTTAGCGTGTGTTGATGTCTGAAGCAGCGCTCGTGTCCTCATGTGTTGTTATTTACCCTCGGTCATGTGATCAGATGCCGCTCCATCAGATCAGGACTCTGGCTTATGCTGTGTGTGTGTGTGTGTGTGTCAGCAGATGATTTTCAGTGTTTATATGTATATCTATATTTTAACTCCCCCAGACTTTATATGCTTTTACTTCGTGGTGATTTAGAGTTTTATTCTTGATATTGTCTGAATCTCTTCTTCAAGTGCCTTCATCAGACACCTGTAGAGTGGACAGAGCTCTGCTTATAGATCAATAAACCTGTTCTTGGTATACAGATCTACTGCTTACTTATTTGAAAACTCATTATTTATAAAGAGTTGTGCTCATTTGCATATAGCTTAATAAACATAGGTGTGTGTGTGTGTGCGTGCTTGCGTGCGCGCGCGCGTGTGTTTCCACGCCGGGTCTGTTGTAGTTTCAGGTGTGAGGACTGATGAGAGCTGCAGATCTGTCAGGTGAGTTTGTTTGTAAACTGTATGAATTATTAATGAGGCAGATTTGAGTCATTAGTGTTTGATGTCGCGGTGTGTTAGTGTTGTGTTACACACAGGAGCTCGTGGGTTCGACTCTCCGTGTTTATGCGGGCTCGAGTCCCGATCCGTGATTTGGGGTCTTTTATATGCGCGGGAAGTCGCTGTGACCCCGGAAAGAGTCCACACTGAGCATCACACACACACTCGCTACCGCACAAACACGTCCATCCGGAGTTTAAACCGCATTTAATGTGGATCTAATGCGGGATTGATGCGGTGAGTCCCGCGGGATTTCCTCCGTGTCCGGGCGCGACTGCAGCTGAAGATGATGATGGAGGAGTGAGTGATGATGTCTAATAACTGTAAGTGTCCTCTGCTCATCTCTGTGTTATTCATATTACGTGTTTATTAGCAATATTAGTGATTTAGCGTCGCGTCTCCGTGAGGCTCGAGTGTGTGTGTGTGTGTGTGTTGTTAATAGCTAATAGTTGTGCGCATTTTTCAGTGATTTGTAACTAACACACACGACACAGACACTGTTTAATGAGACACTGTGTTTAATGAGAACACACACACAGACACACACACCCAGTGTTGGAGATATCAGCTGTTCCTGATCCTCTTGACTAACAGTAAATGAGTTCTAGTTCCTGTCAGAGATTTATGTACCGCCTGAAGGGGGCGCGCACGAGCAGCGCGTTCACAACTCGCTTTGTTCCGAATCTGTTTACATCTATTAATTACACTTAAACACAGCTGGGGCTGTATACAAACAAACAAACAAAAGTACTTCCAGAGGTAACATCCATAACTTCTGACCGGATTATTTGTTCCTTCAGTGTGGATTTCCTGTGTGTGTGTGTGTGTGTTGATGGACTGTTGTCATGGTGATGGCTAGTATTAGCCTACTACTGTTGATATAATCAAACGCCAGAAATTATATTCTCACACTTTAATACACAAAAACACGAGGTGTTTGTGATTATTGTTGGAGAAATGTGTTGATTTGTTTCACTGCTGCTGTTTAAAGTGTAAGTTCACCTAAAAAATTACCATTTACAACGGCAAGCCGTATTGATCGACATGTCATGAGTAACCCGTGCTGTCTATTCTCATGTTACTCATCCATCAGTACTAGTGCTTATGAAAAATATACTAGTGCTTACTCATTAGTTCTTATTTATTAGGTTCATTCATTCATTAATAAGTGTGATTAACTAGCATGTAAATATGTTCTAGTGCAAGCTGGAATACAATCAAAACTGAATAGCTCATATCCAGGCCCACACGGAGTGTGCGCGCGCAGATTTCAGCAGATGTTCAGCCCATCATTGATTCTGTTTATTTACTGGAGTAAATGTGTGTAAGTCTATATTTATTCAGTTTTTAAATTAATTTCAGTAATATTATTGACTAATGTGAGAATGTTCCTCTGTATGTGCAGTGCAGGGTGTGCAGTCATATTCTCTGACTTTTAGACTTGCTTACCCTGCTGAAAAATCCAGTTTAAACCAGCCTAGGCTGGTTGGCTGGTTTTAGCTGGTTGATC